TGGGGCTGCAGCCTGTGCCCCTGCAGCAGCCTTGTCCCCCCACCAGGCCACAGCAGGCGTTTGGTGCCTGCAGGTTGGGTTTTCCCAGGGATGGTTTAGAAAGGACACGCACAGGCTCCTCTGCAGCCCCAGTGCTCCCTCCTTCCATACACCGAGGGGGAGCTCTGTTTGCGGCGCGGGGCATCACCGGTTCACCGCGCCAGCGTGGCGCCCATCCACCCTCTGCCCTCGCTCCCCCCCCACCAGGCCACAGCAGGCGTTTGGTGCCTGCAGGTTGGGTTTTCCCAGGGATGGTTTAGAAAGGACACGCACAGGCTCCTCTGCAGCCCCAGTGCTCCCTCCTTCCATACACCGAGGGGGAGCTCTGTTTGCGGCGCGGGGCATCACCGGTTCACCGCGCCAGCGTGGCGCCCATCCACCCTCTGCCCTCGCTCCCTTGCAGATGGACCCGGTGCAGAAGGCAGTGATCAGCCACACGTTCGGCGTGCCCGCGCCGCTCAAGAAGAAGCAGTTCATCTCCTGCAACATCTGCCACCTGCGCTTCAACTCTGCGGTAAGTGGTACCCGCGGGAGCCTCCCATGGCGCGGGCACTGGGCAGGGAGCAGCTCCTGGGGCTCTGCCCACTGACATCCCCATCCCATGGGCACAGGCGCTTCCCCTCTTTGTTTCACTGGCTCTTTCTGCTCCATGTCTTTTCGTCCCCTGCTGCCTTGGTCTCAGTGATTGCTCTTAAGCTGCTTTATCAGCCCCTGCAAGTCATACGTGGTCCTTGGGAGCTGAATACAACCCTTGGCTTCCCAGAGCTCTGTTGTGGCAGTTGGTTTGGGTTTTAACTCCCAGCCATTCATTCAAGTAAATCAACCACCTTGTAGAGGGGGGGACGGAAGCATTCATTGATCCCTGCGGTAATGAGTTGCACACAGCTGATCGTTTGTGGGGAAAACTGATAAAGAGGTTTCGAAAGGGAATTCTCTGCTCAGAGCCAGCAGGGGAGGGATGAGAATGGAACAGCAAAAGCCTCCTCTGCATGGACGTCAGCTCGGAGCCCTTTGCCAGGGATGGCCCTGCTTGTACTGGAGCAAACCCATCTGCTCCCATGCGGCACAGCAACGGGCAGGGAGGAGGCATGTCCCCCCCCAAGGACCCTCACACTCCATCTGGGTTCCTGCATGGTGCCGGTGACCCGTTATCTGCTGGAGGTTCGTTGTGTTTGCTAATGAGGCCCCACGCTCGGGTGGGCCTTTCTCTTCCCCACGTACCCGGCTGGCGCTGCGCATCCCTGACACCATTCCCAGCCCTTGGAAAGCCACGGGGGGAGGGAGGGGATGCTTCTTCCCACTGCGCACGGGAAGCCTCAGCCAGCCTCTGAGGACTCCGTGCAAATTAGTGCGTGTTGCTCAGTGGTTCAGTGTCTTAATTCATCTTGGATTTACTTCCCACAAATTGCTGAAGCGGGACTGCTCTGGGGACAATGCAGCTTTGTCCCCAGCCACGGAGGACACAAGTGTTGGGGTGATTTTCTTTTGTGCTCGTTTTTATCGGCTCGGTGCAGGCACGAACCCATCGTCGTGCACTTCATTATGCAGCAGAGGAGCCTGTGACTGCAAATCGCATGTCAGACACCCGTTAGGGTCCAATGGGAGACGCGTCCTCCCCCCCAGCCTACTTTCTTGTTTGATTTTTACAGCCAGCACTTCACTGGATGTGTCTGAAGGCATCAATTGTGCCTGAAAGCTGCTTTTAGAAACGGCTTGACGCATTTCACCAGCGCAGGGTCCTTATCTCAGCCCTGCGATGCGGTGATGCCTCAGCAAAGCGGTACCTCGGAAAAAAAAACTCCACCGGGTGGAAAACACCCCGTCGGGATGTCACCAGGGGAGGTGGCTGTGCTGAAACACAGCCCAGCGCCCTGTGTCCATCTGTCCTGATGTGTCCATCTCCTCTCTCCCTCCCAGAACCAGGCAGAAGCGCACTACAAGGGCCACAAGCACGCGCGGAGGCTGAAAGCCATCGAGGCCATGAAGAACAAGCAGAAGGTGACGGGTGCTGCGGTGGCTGACTTGTCCCCCAGCCCCAAGGGCAGCGGGGAGCCCGGCAGCACGGGTACGTGGGCATCAGTGCGGCACAAATGCCACCACGAGCGTCGATAAAGGAGCTTTTGTGCTCCGCTGGCAGCCCCGGCGTGAGTGGCTGCAGGCAGCTCGTGGGGAAGGGGTGGAAAATGCACCCCCGGAGCCCCAGCAGCTCATGTCCCTTTGGGAGCGTGGCCCTGTGCCTCCCTGCTGGTGCTTCCCCTGATTTAGTGTCTCTGGGAGGTGTTTTGGCTGCTGCGGGAGAGCCGCATTCCCTGCCTG